GCCGCCGCCGCAGCTCTGGAAGCCGCGCGGTTATTTATACAGGAAGCGCGGGCGCCACACTTCCTACTTCCCATCTGGGTCGCACTTGGACTGCAGGTGGTGGCCTTAACCCTGTCCCAACCTCGCCGCGGGTGCGCCTGGCGACCTGGCCCTGCAGCCGCTGCACGGTCGCAGCCAATCGCCGGCTCCCGTGGGGCGCTGCCGCAGAAATCCTGAGCCGGCGTCGGACAGCGGCCCGGTGCCCTTCATCCTGCTCACGGCCGCAGGGTGCAAGCACCCGTGGCCTTCAGCACTTGCCACAGGCCTCTGTCTTCTCCCTCATTCTCGGCTCTTGAAATCTTTTTCCTCCTGCAACAGCCCAGACCTGCCTTCCCACCTCAGGAGAAAACGGTGTATAGAAACACTTCCCATGGGCCTCTCGTCATAAACACCTCGTATCTGATTTGTCCTTTTGCGCCTAACGATAAAATCAGCATATAGGCAAACCAAGCCAAGAACAGTCCACTTGCCTCATAAAATACAGGCAAGGGTCTTTAGGAAACCTGCTTTGTCGACAAATTCTGTGAGAGAGAAACACGTAATAACTTCTGTGGAGAAGGACATTCTTTGATCAGAATGCACTAAGGACACAATGATTTGTTTGAGTTTCTTAAAATAAGGTTTTATTATACAGCCCGGATTAACCTTGAGTTTACGATTCTCCTGTCTCAGCCTCCTGAATGCTGGGATTATAGGTGTGTCTTGGATCTCATGTAAGGAAGGGTAATCCTTTAAATAGCCTTGCTAAAAAAAAAAAAACATTTGGTATCCGCCCACTTGTACTAGCTGTGCCCTTGGTTCTCGCTCAATAAGGGTGATGGAAATTGGTATTGGAGGAGGTATTGGAGGAGGTATTGGAGACTGTAATTGGTATTACAGTCTGAGAGGCTGTAAGCCCCCTGATCCCAGAATTTTGGCTGTCTTTGTTTTTCTCCTCTGTCTTTACTTTTCTTATTCATCCACGGGCACCTTGTTCGCGAGACCGGTTCACCCTGGAGAGATAGGGATGAATAGTCCCACAAACTTCATTAGTTATACCTTCGGTTAACAAAAGTGCCACAAGATAATCCAGAAGCTATGGGGCACTGTGACTGCCCTGTCCCATTCCAAAACTTCAGATGCTAAATTTGTGCGCTGTTTTTAATGGATGACAGAGCTGCTCGCTCTGCAGACCGCCCTCAGGTCAGCATCACAGGCCCAACTGTGTTGAACATTGTAATCTTACAAGGTCCTTCCTCTGACACAGAAATCTTTGGGCGCTGGATCGCTCAGCAACCTCCCTCTGCTCGCGAAACCACTAGCAGGAATGTGCTTGTTACAAGGAAGGGACTCACAAGCTCTTTGTAGAACTGGACATGTGCACGGGGCATAGGCACTGCTCCAAACACAGCAGTCTGCTTCTCCTTTCATGTGCAGGCAGACCTCTAGGTCAAAGCCCAGTGCTGAAGGACACCGTGGGAGATGCCAGGATGAGTGGGAGGGCCAGCCCACTAGTGGGGAGGGGAGGACAGGAGGGATAAAACAGAAAGTACAGGGACTCAGAGTGATATAATCAAAGGATACTATTTAGGTTTGCAAAGTCCTCCTATTTCAATCCAAACATCTAATTTTTAAAACGAGGAAACTCATGTCTGTGAGATTTTAGTGGCTGGCCCAAACCAGACCAGAGCTGGAACAAGACCTAAATCGGTGTCACACGAGAAAGGTGCATGTTAGGGAACTAATCGGGTGCATACTAGGAATCACACTCACTGGAGTTAGTTTCAGATTTAGTAGTGGCTTAGATTCTGAGACAACCTACCTCAAGGAATTTTGTTGTTATAGTAACCACTGTTGACGGCCAGGAAACAGGAGAGAGAAAATATTTTCTAAGAGGTTAGTTTATTCATTAGTGTTGATGGAAATCTTCTGAGCCTCAAACCAAAGTTCAACACAGAGTCCACTTTTTAAATTACCATGCAATTAAGTTATCATCTCTAATCAGCAGGATAAGAAGCTGCTCCCATTATAAATGAAAATGCAGGCTACACGGCAATCACACTACCTGTTGTCATAAATATTTTGTATCACTGAATAACATCACCATGCAGACTTCCAAAACTTGCAGTCAAAATCTATTAAAGCTAAATAAACACATTGAATGCTCAAGTATTGTGCAAATAACTCTTCGAGATCTGCGTAAGGAATCCACGATGTGAATAAACGTTCATCCCCTGGAGTATCTAACCGATCTCCCAGACAAGCTGCCATGTACTACAGAGATAAAGATACCGTCCCTGTCCTCAAAGACCTGTGTCCAGGACAGGAGTCAGACAAGCCAATCAATTATCAGGATACTATGATGAGTGATATGATAGATTTAAGCATGATGTGTTATGGAAGTACAAATAATAATTTAACTAAAGGAAGGGGATTGATGAGAAGAATCAAAGGAGACATCTCTAAAATGACTTACAGCAATGTTTAAATACTGACATAAAAAAAGATTTCATAAGTAGAATTTCTTCGCCGGAAAATTCTTTAGTTGAAATAAACTCAACAAAGTATTACTGAGCCATAAAGAAAACTGAAATTCTTTGCAATAAAATGCATGGAACTGGGGGAACATTAAGTGAAACACACTAGACACAGAGAGGTAAGGACTGCACGTTCTCCCTCATATAAAGAAGCTTAAAAAGTGTTTATCTGAAAGTAAAATAGTGATTACTGGAGACAAAGAAAGGTGTGTGCTGGAAGGGTGGGTGGATTTGATCAGTGCATGCCGTGTGCATATGCAGAAATATCACACTTTACCCCATTGATGTGTATAAGTCATACATGCTAGTAAAAGATTTTTAAAAAGAAAGTGCTCCAAAATTTGTCTAAAAGAAAAATAAAAGTGCAGGTTAGTTAATACTTGAAAGTATTCTTTTACCTTATAGGTAAATTAGTAATATATCCCTTACACTTGAATCTTCATTACAACTTGCAGCACACACACAAAAAAATCCTTAATGGTTCGTTCAGAAGAAAGAACGTAAGTATTGGGAAACCAACTTCTGCAACAGATGCAATTCTTTCACCCTGGGAAAATCTCAAAGGTCATGGTGCTTTACATAGACAGCTTGGTCTTTCCAAAACAGCTACAACTTCATTTGCATTTTTTCTGCTGGATCTAAAGAGATTCTTTCAAAATTTCCTGAGGACAATGAATATAGACCTAAGAGTAAAACAGTACAAAATAAAACTATTGTAAAATGATGATAGATATTATGGCAGAAATAGTCTTGGGCGGAATGGCAGGCAAAGAAGACATCAAACTACATGGGAAGCCACACATGACCAGAAGTCGTAATCCACCTTGAAAACATAAGTTTGGCAAGGGTGGAGCCATGTCATCCTAATTATTTCATACAGAACCAGCTCAACACCTCATGGGAGAAGCTATAACCAATGGGGGCCTAGTAGGAAAAACCTGACCTATAATCTCACACTACCATTGCCAGGCCACACAAGAACCCTCTTGGGAGGGCTGGGGATATAGCTCAGTGGCACAAGTGCCTGCCTGGCAAGTGCAAGGTCCTGAGTTCAATTCCCGGTATCAAAAAAAAAAAAAAAAAAAAAAAAAAAAACAAGAACTCTCTTGGGATGAAGAACTGAACAAGACAGCAGGATCCCACAGGAATGAGGTGTCCAAGGCTCTAACATCCTTCAGAACATCACCAACAAGCTGGGCTGAAGGGCCAGTGAGAAAATGCAGCTCAGCACCCAACTCTCTGAACAAAAATGACCCTGCACTAGCCCTGAAATAAGATTCTCCAGCAGAAAGTCAGATGAAATCATCTTGGGATTCCTTATGTTTGCAAAACTGGTATTGATCCTTCTATTAACATAAACATCTCCAAATTCCTGCATAAGACAATTTTTAAAGAGCCCCAGTCTTCCCACAGTTGTCATCCCAGCCAAGGTACAAACTGGTTCACAGGAAATGAGTCTCTTAGAACTGTGCCCAACATAGACACAAAGGACTCTGCTAACCTGAAAGTCTAAGTAAAGCTGGGGTGTAGCTCAGTGGTACAAAGCAGGTGAAACCCTGGGCTCAAGCCCTCAGCACCAAAAGAAATATTTTTAAAGTTGAAATACATATTACCCTAATGGATGGAGAACTTTTGTCTTGGTTACTTTTCTCTTGTTGCTGGGACAAAATACCTGACGCCCAAAATTAAGGAAGGAAAGGTTTATTTCACTTACAGTTTGTGGAGGTTTCAGTCCATACTTGGCAGATTACAAGGCAGACCGGCACATGGCAGAGAGCTACAGCTCATGGCGGCAGAACACAGCAAAAGCAACAAGCACACACCAGGGCAGAATGGCCTCAAGCACCCTTTTCCTCTCCCTTACATATGCAAACTATCCACCCTAGGGCGGGTGTAGCTCTCACACCCATAATCAGTCAAACTCTAAAAGCCTGCCCCATGGCCACATGAGGCTTTAGGGGGACACCCAGACACAAGCCATAACAACTTTGTTCTTGGAATTAAGACCTACAAGGATCAAATTACTCATAGAGAAGAATACGAAGATGTTGGTTTTCTAGGAAAACATTACTCTGAAAAATCTCTTGAAAATTTTTCTCTTTGATGTAGATGGCTGATATCCTTCTTTTTTCTACCTTCTCATCCTCCTACCTTTCTTTTTCTACAAGAGTGAGTAGCCAAGTCCTGAATTATACCAGAAGCCAGATGGAGCTAATGAATACTATCATCTACAACAAATCTGGTTCCCAAAAA